TTTAGACCACTCAGCTTTGAGTTCTGGCTCTTCTTGTTAGTTCTGTGTCCTTGCATAGGTAACTTTCCCTCTCTATGTCTTAATTTCTTTACTGCAAGACATTCAGTCTGTTGTGAGAAGAAAATGATACTACAAGGGAAGAGCTTACAAGCATTTACAAGCTGTCAGTTGTTACTCTTTCTATATATCCAACCAAGTGCAGCCACTGGATCTTAGGAGAGCATGAGAGCTACTTGGGTTAGGAGAGAATAAAGCTGATGAAACCTGAGTGGAAAATAGAAGTTGATGTACCCACAATCTCCTTTACACTGTCATTCGACTAAAAATAAGGCTCCCTGAAGAGCGATTTTTAAGGGAGGCTGCTGAGCCCTTCCTTCAATAAAATAAATGGTATTTTACTTCTGATCAATATAAAACTACTTTAGGGCAAAAATAAAATGTGTAGGGAGGAATGTAGATGGGAACGACATTGCCAGCATTTCTTAAACGAAAGTTTTTCTATAAGCAGTTTAATTGGACTCCAGAATATTTAAATAAACAGTATTTTCTGAATGTGACAGGCATATTTGTAAATGTACTGAGGATTTAGTAATCCCTCCTGATTTCAGGAATAACATCATTCTTGATCCAGTCATTGTGAGGTGTGAATGATTCTCTAGAGCTTTTGCCAAGGCCAGAATGTATCTTTCAAACCACAGTGAGTTTTCCATTATCTCTCGATAGGTAATTGGTTTTGTGAATCATCTTTAGGGGCCAGGAACTCTTCTCTTCTTAACACAGAGAATGATTAGCTGGTGTTTGTGTAAATGAACGCATAGACTCTGACTGCATTGACAGCCCCATAATAAATGGTCTGGAGGTGGTTATATTGGTTTTTTACTGAGAATATCTGTACCTTTTCTCATATACTAATTTGGATGTACACACACACACACACACACACACACACACACACACACACACACACACAGAGTTCAGAAGGTCTATGTCTTGGCCTATTTGGAAATTCACTGGTGTGGAATTCTTATCATCAAAAACTGTATTTTTTAGGAGTGTCTAAATTGACTTCATTTGCCTTTTAGATCAGATTCAAATCCCTCAATCAATATTTAAAACCCGGCCTCCCTAATAAAATTTACTCTGCCACCTTCCCGGGATCTTTATCATTCTAAATCACATGCTTTTCATGGTTCAAATTAAGATTCACTCCTATAAATCCTTGGACTACTATCATCAGAGTGATAATTTTTATATATGACAAGGAAAAATAATTCTGAAATTTCTTCGAAGCCTGGATCTTCCATAGCTGTTCGTCTTTTCCTTCTTTCTTTGATAAATTTAGTGTTGTGTGTGTGTGTGTGTGTGTGTGTTCTGTGCTTCGTCTGACAGCCTACTCAGTGATACCTCAGTGGTTTCTAATGAATGCTTATTGAATAAACGATAGAACATAGAACTGGAATGGATGTCAGTCACCCAGTTTTTGATGTTTCTTCACCTTAACTCAATAAATATTTATAGGGATCTTTCTTCAATGAACTGCATAATATAAATGAGAGAGTTTGGCATGGACAAGGAAGTACTGCACATACTACTACATGATTCCCTGTAATGCTTTTTAAAGATCTCCAAAGGCTACAGGATTCAATGGCAAGCCTTTTTAGAAAATATTATGTTGTCTCTGTAGTAAAAAGTTTCTGACATCATCATTCATGAATAACATCAGCATTAAAGTAGAAGATAGTCATCGTTATTAAGTGTCTTTTCTCCTAAATTTAAAAAAAATTCCATTATGTTGACTTACCTTTGAAACTGATGGGATTTCTACATAGTAGAATTTTTCTTTCTTTGTTTTTTTAAATGCATATTAAAAAGAGGCCTTAAGGCAGTGAGTGTTAGGCCTGAGGATACAAGAATGTATTTTATAGTTTCCAGGATCATTTCTGATATTTGGAATTCAAATTTAATAAGATACTATAACTAGATATGAAATTTGAGACTAGAATACAATACCTAATGTTTTGATGCAGCCACCTCTCAAAATGACTGACACTTTCCAGTATATTAAACAAGCGAGGTTACGAATTTTCACCTAGTTTGGAACTGAAACAGGTGCATTTCCACAAGAAGTTTGTGTGCTTGCAACTGATACCTAGTAGAAATAATTTAAGATCTTGGAAATCTGAGCCATGATTGACAGAGGGAAGGTTCTTTCTAACCTTCACTCACTGAGCATGATTTTTTAATTGTTTAAAAATATTTTAATGACAGGACAAAATATTGTCAACGATATCTATACTGTTTAAAACTTTTAATGCTGCTAATATTTTCATCCCACCTATGGCCGTGTATTATTTTGACATGAAAGGTATTTTTTATGGATGAGAAGAGAGGGCGAGACATTCAGTGGTTGACAAAACAAGCACACAGGCTCTCCAGGAAAGAAGGAAGAGGACATACGGTATCTGCACAAAGTGACCCCTCATAACCGAGCGATAACCATTTGACACAGAATACACTGAAATCATTTATAATATAGTCTGCAGCCCTGAAAGGAGATTACCTAAGAAGCAAATTGATATCCCATGCCTTTATGCTTTATTTCAAAGAAAAGGCAGCTATTACCTCGTTCCACTAGACAAATCAGAATAAAATAAGTCGGCAGTTAAAGGACAACTACTAGTGTAGGATTCCTGAGGGCCACAGAGTTCTCAGCACAGCGTTGGGAGCTGTGATTGAGAGACCTTTCCATGGAGCTTGGAGCACAAATACAAAGTAGTTGTAGATTTGGCTAAAGACTTCAAATTAGTGGTCAAGGCCAGACCGAAAGCCTAAGGCGAAAGCCTAAGCCATGTCCTGAGGGACATGGGTCAACCCTGCTGCTGTCGGGACACTGTCATGAAAACACAGAGGAGCAGCCAACGGTAGAGCAGGTGGGAGATGGAAATTGCAAGGAGAGCTCTGGTGATGGGGCACTTACAGGTTTCCTGTTGTTGGTGAACCGCATCTCGAGAATGTTTAGCCTTGTAGCCCTGAGTAGTGAGAGGGAACTTCTGCTGTAGTAGAGAAGGAAACAGAAGAATTTCTGTGAAAATATTACTTTCATCTGGGCAGTTTCTTAGAGTTAGAAATGTGTCATTAGTACATGAGGACATTTCTGTATTGTCATAAAGTATAATGGCTGCTTAAACTTGTTGAGTATATTCAAGTAACAAAGTTTTAATGTAACAAAGTTTATAATATAACAAAGTTTTATTACATTGTAAGTGTATGATAATTTGTGTTTTCAGAAGGTTAAAGGCTTTTTGTGCTTAAAAGAGAAAAATATCTGCAAAATCCACTAATGTGCCTCAATTTCCACTGATAGTGAGATATTGAGAGGCACTGATGTCTGATAAGAACATTAACTTTCAGCTTTTTAATTCAGAAGTCAGTCATTTTCAATTTCCTACTTTGGTCTCAACACCTGTGGTTTCTGGCTTTGCCTTGGCCTTAAGGTTGATGTGTATTAATATGCATTAAACTCTCTCTACTGTTACTTTTTCAATTCCTTTTCTGGACCCAGCCTCCCCTTTAAAAATAAATGCTCTATTTTTCAATTAAAATCTCCTCTTGCAGCTAAGAATAATACGTGTTTTTCCTTATGTGTAAAACGTTTACAGTGATGACTGTAAATTCTTCAGGAATTGATAAAGGTTTCGAATGGGCCAGTTCTTTCAGGGAGGTTTGGCTTTTTTTTGTCATACGAGACATCGCACATGGACCACATCCTTTCTCATTCTGGATGTGGTGCTGTTTGCTTCAGCCACACCCAACACTGTGGTTACAGAGGCCTCTGCAGACTGCTGGGGTGACATGAGAAATGAGAGGGTCCTTGTGGTTCTGTAGGTGGTTACATTCTGTACCTTCTTCGGTAAAGCCGTAGAGTGGTGGAGAATTGTATAAGCAATACTTTTTCTCTAGTCTTGTGTTGTACACCTGCTGCGTTGACCGGCTTTAGCCAGGGGAGCAGGCACAGCCTGGTGGGGCTCTTTACAATCATCAGAGGTAGAATGCATCGTTGAATTAATTAAAGAGCCACTTTAGATTTGCAGATAAAAGAAAGTCGCAGATCCCCAGGTATTTTTGTACTTCTCACCCAATTGACGTATTTAGAAATAGAGGGATTTATTTGCAGCTATTATTTCCTCAGGGGCAGTCTTCAGTATATTCATTTATTTAGCCACTACTGTTTATACAGACTATGAGTTATGAGGTGACCTCCATCTCCGCAAGATAAATCCTGGTATCCAGAGTCCAGCCATCTTCATCTATTGCTGTATAGCTGAAGTGGATATTGAAATTTGTTTTCTTGAGAAAGCAGGAAAGCTCCACCTCACACACATAAGGTTGCTGTGAGTGGGTTATAAAACTGCCAGACACCTATTCAACTGGGGGCGTCGCTCATCTTTATGGAGCAGGAGTCAGGTTCTGATTGTCTGCAGGGCTATTTTGGACCCTTGTGTGCACACATCTCCAAGATCATCAGCTTGCCACCAGTAACTGGTAAGCTGTGTGTTTTTAGACATGGGACACAGAGACAAGCGATATCACCCACAAGGTACTCGCTGAAGCCCTGTGAAATAAGCCCAGTGGCAAGAGGCCACGTCTTCTGAAGATATTCCTGCTGTGTTTTAGATGACTGATTGCCTCTATTACTCTGCTGTGCTTCATTTACAGTGCCGACGAAGATCAAAGAAGTGCACTGTGAATTTTTTTGCTTCGCGTAAATTTAAGCATGGCCGCAAAGGCTTGTTTCCTCTCTCTTGGAAAAGCAATTTAGCTTGCAGAAAAATAATTAAATCTGCAGTATCTTGTAATGATTAGAAATTTGAAACAGGGAGGGTTAATTATTTCAATCCAATTTTGGTTGCCCAATTAAATGTTCAAGGATAACATTCAGACAGTTACTGAGTTAATTTACAATACCAGCACATTCAATACTTGAACCCTTTTCCCTGCAGGATCATGCAGATTTGCGAAGCCATTTCTTCACAGTTGGGATGAAGCTAGAAACAGTGAATATGAGTGAGCCCTTTCATATCTGTCCTGCATCAGTGACCAAGGTGGGTTTCCCTCCCTTGCTCTTCACCTCAGCCTCCAGAGTGGATCAAATAAGTCTTTCTCCTCAAAGCCAACCAGATGAAATATGCTTGCACAAGGATATGTCACTACGCCAAGTAAACCCAAGGTGGATTGCCTTCTCTCTTATCCAGTGCTATTTGAAGCTCTCTCTCTATCACTGGTAGCATAGAGTGGGTCTAATCAGATGTTCCCTCTTGTAATGGATGGGGTAAGTTTCACTTGTCTTCTGATAGTACAGTACGTGGATGCTCATGTCTGTGAGGGACTGCATGGCTGTAAATTTGCAGTGAGCTTGTTCCTCCTGCCTGATAGTAGTCACTATGATCTGTTTATATTTCTAAAATACCTGAAAATGGTGAAAAGCAAATTCCCAGGGCCATTGTGTCAGCACGTCTACTTCCTTTTAATCATCTGCTTTCATTGACTAAAGGAAAAGTTATGCTTTTGAGATTTGAAGATGTAAAATGAAATTACTTTTTCATGTAAAGTCATTTTTTTATGGTCTAATAAGCTTTTAAGGTTATAATTTCCCTTCTCCATCAAAGAAATCTCGGTGAAGACAGCTATGATAATATCTAGAGTGTGTGTGTTTCAACCTTAAGTATGTCTTATAAATGGTGGAAGAGACCAACAAACTTAGCACTCTTAAACCAATGTCTGTTTTAGTTAATGGCCTTTCACGCATTTTGTGGGGAGTGTTCAAAAGTCAACTCCATGGATTTAAACCCAGGTGTCATGATTCCCACCAAAATAATGTTTAATGTTTTAATTCCCTGGCGGCATAATGTTTTAGTCTAAACAAGTGGCTTTGCAGATAAATCCCAATCAGTTTTGCTAGTTACAAGCTGATTAAATTACTTATATTTTAAGAACCTTAGTTTTTATAGCTGCACAGGAGGTATTATATTGTCGACTTCATGTCATTGAAAGAAGTGAGGAATCATGTATGAAGTGCCTGGCATGTGTGAACGCTCACTAAAATATTAACTACGTTCACCCAAACCTTCTGTCCTATTTATGGGTACTATACTATCCACAAGGGAACTACTGAGTCCTCTTACCTTGTTAGTTGGTTAAACATAAACCTGATTGTTTTAGAACTGAGTTTTAAGTTTGTTTCTTACAAAGTGCCGTGGTGGTTTCAACAAGCACCGGTTTTGGCACGCACCAACCCTCCAGCTGGAATCGAAAGTTCCAGTGAATCACTCAACACACTGTATTTTCAACATAACCACTGGAGAGAGAATGGAAGTGTGTCCTTTTCCCTTTAAAGCCATGCACATTGCTGAGTTTTCCACTGGCTTGCTGTACATATATAACTTTCAAAATGAAAATATTATTGTATGAAGAGGGTGATCAAGGTAGACTAGAGCGGATTGTCGCTGCAGTGGTTTGGGATGTCAGCCATTCTTAACCTAAAAGGAACACTTGCATGATCCAACAGGATACCTCTAATTGTACATTTATTGTCATCTTTTATTTGCATTTCTATTTTGGAAACATTTACCATGTGTACTGATCAGACTGCATTTGGTTCCTATGGAGAAATGGTCTATCTTGAAATTTGTGATCCAGAAGGAAGAGACAGGAAATTTGTATTTTGATTTCAAATTCTTTGAAAAACGTGATTGTTTATCTGCTGTGGGCTTTTTGTATTTCATTATTGTAGACAACTCAAAGAAAGGACTATTTCGTACATTTTTTTCCTTTCTGAGTCTTGATCAATGATGTACTTTTCCAACGAAGTAGTCACATAATTAATATAAAGAAATCAGTTGGGTCTATCTGTTCTTTCTCTTCTTAACACAAGAATGTATTTGACCTTGGAAGTAAAAACAAAGATGTTTCTTTGATGTTACTTCATGTTGGCAGAATGACTCAGTTTGTGTTTGGGATATGATCGATCATATGTGTCCTCGGTGGCTCCTGTAACTGTCACATGCCTGAGATACCCCATAGGCAAGTTGGAGCAAGACTTTTCAGCCAGAGAACAATGATATGAAATGGACCTCTAGATGTGTGGCCCTAGCATATGATCCTTTTGGATGTCACATAATGATTTCTAAATTTTATAAAGTTGAAGACGTTAAAAAAAGTTAATTTCATTTTAATTTCCTCTTTTTGAAAGAGACCGGATTTCTAATTCAGTGATGTTTGTTTTAAAGCTATTTGAGTAGTGCTTTTTAAAAATTTATGATTTGGTAAAATTTGAGAAATATTGTGGTGACAGTGTGTTACAGAATATGGAAAATGGTTATGATAAAGAAATGTCTTTTTTTCCCTTTGGAAAAAATATTTCTTATTTAATGAGCATAAATTATTTCTATAACTGTTAAAGTAATTTATTGAAAGAATAACTACATATGAGAAAAAATATTGATTTCCTCTTTGAGTGATAATCTCAGGGTTGAAATGCATGTTCGTACACTATCCATTAAAAACCTTTTTATTTGAAATGGCCTTCAGGGTTCTTTACTGTGTGTTCTGGTTGTTGCACATTTGTAGAAAACTAAAGAGTAAAATCTTGTTGAAACATGACCAGAATTTCCCTTTGTTCAAGCAGCAGGTGATATAGTGATGCCAGCCGCCCATTTATTGGGATATATATCGCATCTTGTCCTCATTCTAAGAGGCTATGGTGTCAGCTTACACTTGGAATTAATTTTTTTTTAAAAGCCAAACAGAGATGCATGTGTGCTTAGCCTGTCAGGGGTGGACTTTCACATTCTTGTGTCCTTAAATAGTTATATATATAACGCTAGGATGTGACTTACTAATTATAATTAGTTTCAGCTTGCATATCTTTATCTTGTTGATAGACCTCCAGCAGCAGTAGTTTGGTTTCCACAATAAAGCACTTTGCTCCCTAAATAAATATTGGGGCTTATGGGTGGGAAGATATTTTTTTCTGATTTTTGAGACACATTTTCATTTTTATATTTCTTACTCTTTGTACCAAAGATAAAATACTGAAATCAGTCTTTTCTTATATACCCCACCTTCTCTTATTGGCCATGTGTTATGTAATGCATGGACTTGGATGAGAACCTGCTCAGGTTCAAGACTCGTCTACATGTAGCAAAGCATCAGAATAATCTTCATGTAGAAGGTATTTATAAATAAAAATGTTTCTCTTAACACTGGAAAAATGTTTGAGACCATAATGCAGTATGCTTTTATTACTCATCATAATGAAAACTTCATTTTTATTTTCCTTGGGGCTTTCTCTTGATGGCGAAACTGTTGAAGAAATAAATAATGTTAAAGTAAATAGACAAAAAAATGGATAAGCATATAGCAAATCCAGTATTAAATGACCAACCCTTAGTGCAGTGGGATTATGTTTTTGGTGTTCCAAAACAGTGAGATATTGACAAACAATGGTGTGATGAAAATATCATCTATGTGAAATATATTGCATTATTTAGAGCAAAAGACACTGAAATTAGAAGTCTTGGGTCCTGTTTCTGTTTCTGCCAGCTTGGAGGTGCACAGTCTTGGTCACTTGAGTTGGTTAAATGCTCCAGGCTTTAGTTCAAGACCTGTGTGTTTTCCAGATGGACCAGTGTTTCTGAATCATTTAGCTTTTCTCTGAAGTAATAAGTAAACAAATATAGTAAGTTACATGTTAAATGAAGAGGAGAAAGATGCATCAGGGAAGGGACTAATGGAGTGTTGGCAGAAGAAGGGAAGGCATGATTTTAAATAAGGTTGTCAGGGAAGGCCTCCCTGGGAGGGTGATGTTTGATCCTTTGCAAAGCTTAAGCAGCAGAATTCTAACTATTTACCGGAACTGACATCAAGAACTGAAGTGAGTTTACTCTTCTGCTTATCTTTGAACTAGGTTGCTTTCAGAAAATATTTTGTAAATGAAGGAACTAGGAATCATAGCTCAGGAAGAGTGTCAAGGTTTCCCAAGAAAGACTAGCAGATTTCTGATGAGTTGGGAAAGTGCCGTTTTTGTGTTTTTTGTTTTTTTCCCTCTGGTGTGTTTTACATACTTGATTCTTAAAATCCATCATCCTTTCCACTGTTGGGGTTCACCTGATTTGTACCCTGCTTTTTCCATCGGCACGCCTTGTTCCTATTTCTTCATGGACTTCTTTTTCCCCTTATATCCAGTGGATGATTATCTACTTTCTGTGTACGAGGCAATTTCTCTGCATGATAGGAATGCCTTGATGAGGGATGAAGAGGCCGCAGTCCTCAGAGCACGTGGGATCTGTTTGGGGAGACAGGTGGTATCAGTACATAGGGAGGCGGAAATGAGGATTTTCAGTACAGACATACCAGCCTGATGATTTGGGGAGCACAGAACAGGGGCCCTGTATTCCAACTGAATGGTTGGGAAGATGCCCCAGCAGTGCTGACTTTCAGATGGGCCTTAAAGAAGACACTGTGATTTGATAGACTGACAATGGAGCGGGGTGTTGGACTGTGAGACTCCGGACAGGTCTGGGCGTGAATGGTTTCCTGTTGGGCTGGAAGGTGGGGCAAGGGGGCGGTAATATGATGAGTGAAACAGGAGACTAGATGGGACTAGAAATCTCCAGGCCAGGCCTTGGAGGTTCTCGAATGACCCGGTGAGAAAACTCGCGTCCCTGCTGTGGACATGGAGAAACCAGTTAGACCTTTCAGTGCACGTCTTGGCTTTCCCTAGGCTGGAATTTGTCTGTCTCACTCCAGCCGTTTGTTTATCTTTCAGCTATGACTAGTGGTTTACGTTTCATTCTCTGTCTCCTGTATATTCTTACTCGTTTACTTTTTATTAATTTGACCACAATGATCAACTCTAACTTTCAGCAACTGGATCATTGCAGTAATGCACATTGGAATGCCAGTTTGTGGTCAAACCATTTTGATGAAATATATTGATTGTGTTTGGAAGCTGTGCCAGTATTTCATTACTAGTCTTATATGTAATCCCAGGGAACTAACCATTGGCTGTATTGGTTTTCTCTTTCAGGTTTTTAATAATCATTTTTTTCAAGTGACTATTGATGACCTAAGACCAGAACCTAGTAAACTCTCAATGCTCTGCCATGCGGATTCTTTGGGGATTTTACCAGTACAGTGGTGCCTTAAAAATGGAGTCAATCTCACACCTCCCAAAGGTTTGTATTCTGTGAAAATTTACAGAGTTTTGGTGATTCAGGCGAGTGTCGAATTGTTACTGAGGAAAGTTATGTTGTAAATAACTTAGAAGTAGTGGAAAAATAGTGTGTTTCATGGTTAGCTTGACACAGGTGTCGTTTATAGCTTCCTTCCATGGAGAGGCGTGTGACCTTGGGCTTCTCAGTTCACGTCTGTAAAGCGTAGTTCTCCATCGGTGATTGAGTGACTGGTGACTTTGCTGCTGCTGCTGTGTGGTGATAGAGGGTTCATTACTGCTAAAAGTTAAAAACTTAAGAGTGTCTATAGCGTGGCTTTGAAAAATGCAGTAAAATGTTAGTGAATCATTTCTTTATATTTTTATTTACAATAAATCAAAATTTCCACAGAGTCCAGTTGCTCCAAGATATTCAACAATTTGATGCTATAATACATTAACATAATTAAACTGAGAACCAGGTTACATGAAAATAATTTTTACATTGAGATCCATGTACTGCACTGTAAGTTTAGCATTGTGATTTGTTATCCCTTATAGGTCTAAGGTTTAGTCAGTAAAGAAAGCAGCAAGGCAAAAGGAGAGACGGTGGGGAGAAAATAAAGGGAATAATAGAAGAGAAAATCGGAAGTGATTAGAAAAGTAAACTTGTGGAGGGATTTTGACAGATAATCAGAACTAATACAGGGGTTTCGTGATAACCTTTCAGCTCACTGGGGACTGGTTTGCATGTCGTGTTAATCACATCAGAAATAATTGACACCCACAGGTTAAGTTACAATTTTCCTGGTGGCCATCATAGACCCCGTGCCACCTCTAACTTGTGTTACGCCCGGCTCATCCATGGTGTGCCGGTGCTCCAGTGACGGGGTATCGTAAGCTTTTATCCTCTACATTCATCCCCATGGAGGAGCTGCTTTTGAATATTTCCATTTTAGCTATTGATTGTTCATACTTAGGCTGTGCATTAATGGAATGAGGTCTAATGAGAACATGGTGAATTTCTTACATCATATTCTTTATATTGTCTGAAGTGCCCAACTCATTTAATTCTCAAAACAGAGACTGCCCTGTAAGGAAACTCCGTCGCAGAGAGGTCATGTAACTGCCCAAAGTCACACGTAGAAAATCACAGGCAGGAGGCCTGGCTCCTCATCCCGCTCCCCACAGTGGTGAGGCCTCCAGTTCACAATGCCTAGGTTATTGCTTCCATTTTGGTACTCGCAATGACCCTGGCCAATTTCTAGTTGACAATAAGATATATTTAAGAATTTTTAAAAAATTGGTTGGATATTTCCTTACGTAATGAGAAAAAGGAAAAGTATTAACACATACATTTTGGCTGCTTGACTATTTCATTATGATAGAAGTTTAATGTTTACCAGCATTTTTAGAATTTTAAAATATATTTATGAATTCAAACTCTTAAAAATATTTTTTAGAAAAGAGATTTTTGACATAGCTTGAATATTTACTAGGAAAATATGTGTGCTTCTTTGGATGATTGCATTCCATGATATTAAGAAAATTGTTTTACATTAGTGTACTGAATTCTTAAAATGTGCAGTGAAATGACTATACAAGTGTATTTAGAGTATTAAATGTTTTAACATATTAAACTTTTTTATACCTAACATTTAGTGACAATTATTTTTTCTTCTCTGTCACCCAAGTATTTGTGATATTGGTGAGATGAAACTGTCTTCATGAGATTTCCAAACTATTCTGTCCCCTATTGAAAATGAAGCATACTTTTTGCAAAATCACAAAAAAAAAGAAAATTTCTTCATTCATATTCTATATTAGATGTAGAATATTGAATATATAATGGTTAATACTTTCCAATAAGAAAATCTCAGTGCTAGCCTCCCCCCCTTTTTTAACACTTAAAACACTCAAGGAGTGATCAGGATCATTGGTCAGGGATCCACTGGTTATCTATGGGGTTGTGTTTGGGCCATGGGACTGTTATCTTGAAATAGTAGAGGTTCCATTGATAAATCAGTAAGAAAAAGACCAGCAACTTACAGAAAAAGGTTTCCGAATATCAACGGATAGTTCACAGTTAAAAGTAACACAAAGGTTGTTAGGCAAATTCATCATAATACGAGAAATGCGAGTTAAAATCCCACTGAGATGGCATGTATCTATAAGGTGAAGTAGAAATTCAAAAGAGAAGGAAAAGAAATTATGTTTTGATGAGCATGTGAAGGAACAAGAATTCTCAGATTTGCTGGTGAGAATGCAGGTAGGTACAAACTGTATTCAAGGCATTGTGGCAGATTTTACTAAAATTATAAATGCATTTTACCTGTTGACTCAGCAGTTTTATTTCTGGAAATTTCTCCTAAAGATACACTATTCAGATAATATACCTAAAAGTGTGTTCTTTGCAGCATGATTTACAATACCAGAATACTGGGAAAACTCCAAGTGCCTATCTATGTGGGTTAAACAGATTTTAGATAACATATAATGAAAACTATGCAGTTGTTACAAAGAATGAGGAAATCTCTGTGTACTGATATGGGAAGAGCTCAAGATATGTTGTGAGTGATAAAGATCAGTAGGTTATAATATGATGACCTTTTGTTAGAAAAGAGGTAAATGACTATATATTAGTGTTTACTCATATTTCTGTAAAGAAACTCTGAAAGGTTACATAAGAAACTAATGAAAATCGGAATTTTTGTATGGAGGTTCAGAGTATGGAGGTGGAGAGCAGGACAGATGGAAGTGAGGCTAGGAGTGAGCCTTTGAACAAAACACTGTAAAAATATTTTTATTTTTTTCTCTTTGATCTAAAATAATGTATTACCTATTAAACATAAACATGTATTACTAAAAGTAGAGGGCTTTCATAACTAAAGGGGATCTTAAAGATTGTCTCATCTGCTCTAATTATTTTATGTGTGGGGAAATGGAGGCAGTATTGAAATTTTTAAGTCCTTTGGTAGAAGTTGGCTTAAAACCTCCCTCTTAAGATCCCAAATCTAGTGCTGTTTAAAAAAATAACCAAACCTATGCTTTACTGCTGTTGTCTCTCTCTGGCATCTTCACAAAAACCATCCTCAGGAATTCTGGGGCATTTCGGTACAGAGCATTAGCTGCTATCAGTTGATCATGACTTTTCTGTGACTGAAATGGTCTAGATGTCAGAGCATTTGGAGAATTTCAGTTCTCAGGTATAATTTTCCAAGCGTTTACAGATATAACAAAGTCATGACTTCATTTATTGAACTCCCATACCATTTTGTGAGAGTGGAATATGTTTATTTTTATGATTAAAATAAATTACAGTTTAGAGGAGGTGGTGGTGATTTCCCTAATGGTGATTTGATGGTTTTCTTTTGAGGTAATTTGTTAAATGTCTCAGGTGTCACACCAGGGCTGGGAACCACGCTGTTGAGTTTTTTCGAACACCATTCTTTGCTTTATTAACGTATGAAAGTATACATTGTCTTTAAAATATGTTTGTTATTTTTAACTTAAATTTTGATCTTTGTAAAGAAAGTACGTCAGATTTTATTATACATGCTGAGAAGTGTTTAGATGTTTTCTGGTATGTATGTTTTCCGTGAGTGTAATACATTACCTAGATTTCTGTTAGAACTATAAACACTGCTTTCAATTACGTGTTGCCCAATAGCAGAGAGATACCCCATCCATTCTCTAGTCAGTGGGAAGCAGCTGATGATGAAATAAAAGACAAGTGGTCTAGGAGATGTGCAGGAACAGATCCTTCCTTACATGGTTTTAACTCCTGTTTTTTAAAAAGCCTGTCCCTGGGCTTTGGAGACAAGCAGTCTAAGCTTGAATGGATAGGAGTTTTTCAGTGCTGTCTCTGTGTGAGCAAATGCTTTTCTGGTAAGCCAGGGACAGAGCCTTGGATGTTTTACCCCATTAGTTTAAACCCAGTAAACAACAATTCGATGTTATAGGCACTAAAAGCAATCAAACAAATAAGTCAACTAAGCAAAAATGTGTACCAGGTGTCAACCATGACATGCTATTTTTAAATTATATCACTAGTGTTCATGGCATGTGACATCAAATATTAGTCATAGAGATAGTGAAGAAAACATCCCACTCGGGGATCTTTGTAGACAATGTTTAGCCTTTAATTTCTATTGTAAAATATCTGAGCAAAGGCTGAAGTAAATCACTTATTTTAGCACTTTGTCTCTACTAGCTGGCCATCTTAATTGACACATAAAATGTGAACACAATTTAGGAAGTAAGGGCATATTTTAATTATTATCAAGACACAAAGTAGTGGACACTAATTGGTATTCTCTTTTTCCTAGACACTTGTCTGATGAACTCAGTCCATTTTTTTAAATCTGTATTTCCTACATACCAAAGGGGACAGAAAATAAGCACATACTCATTGACTTGCCCCCTTGACAGAACACCTGCTAACATTTTGCCACATTTGATTCAGATTTTTTAAAAATGATATAAAGTGTTATGGATATAATGAAAGACTGAGTCATCCTTGACTCTTTCTGATGCCCCATATCCAAGCCATCTTGAATCCTGTCAGCATTTTCAAGATCTGACCACACCTCCTCATGACCACCCTGGTCCGGGTCTCCTTTAAATCTCACTTGGGTTACTTGCAGTGGCCTCCTGCTTTCCTCAGTTTATTCTCAACACAACCATCAAACTGATCTTGTTGAAATATAAATCACACTTGTCCCTCCTCTTTCAGTCCTCGCTCCGTGGCCAAGTCCCCTTTGTAACAACAGTCTACAATACTCAACCATTTCCCTGTCTGGCTTCATCTTCTAAGATGCCCCCTAGTCAGCTCCACCACACCGGCCTTCTTGGCCTCCATGGAACATGGCGCATATCCTTGTCATAGGACATTAGCATTCACTGCTCCCCATGCTTGGCTCACTCTTCCCCTTCCGTGGTCTTGACTCCGGTGTCACATTTGAGGTGGTCCATTTTGGCTGTCTATTTAACATCAATTGCAAATCGCACCCGCAATGATTTTAC